ATATTGTAGGTTTCCTTATGCTGTTTTTACTGTGCACTTTTTAAAATTAGGTTTTAATTTCAGTATGTAAGAACAACAAATATTTTGTATACTTTCAAACTCAATTATATGGTAATCGATTTGGTATCTATGGAATAGATATATGTTTCTGGAAAAAAAATGCTTAAATTGTCAAACTGTCATTACTTCTTACTATAGTTGAAGGCATTCTCCAGATTCTTTTTAAAAGATTTGTTCATATTTCCCCCTCTCTCTCTCTTTCTTTCTGTCTCTCGGTTTCTCTCCTTTCTCTCTGAGGGGGAGGGAGCCCTGCAAACTTCAGATCCTGTGGGTTTAGTATCATTATCTTCAGCTCTTTGATACCCTGTGTTAGAGTAATAGCTAAAAGAAGTTCATGTCAATAAATTCATACTTATATCACACTTTCAGTCTCTCTATGAAAATTTGATAAAGGAAACTGAACCCTATTAAAGTTGGCTTTTACAAAACATATCAAATACCAACCGACTTAGGTGTAATCCTCTGATTCCTCAAATTGGAATAATTCTACAGTTAATCCTTTAGTAAGGCTGTTGAGTTTTGCCTTGAAAGCTACTTAAAACCACACTTCAAGCAAAAAGCCTGAGCCCTTAAGGCTCCCCTTGGCTTATATCATAAACATTGTGTTGTATCAGTGTCAGGAGTGGCTCTGCCAGCACTCTCCACTCCTACTCCCGAGGCCCTAAATATATTACTCCTTTCTGAACTGCTTACACAGGCCCATTTCACCCATGTCCAGGTCTCCACATTAGCTGAGGGGTTCCTGAAACCCCCTTCTCCTTACCTCTCCACCTGTGGCACCATCTTTCTTGAGGCTACTCTCTAGACAGTTGCGAGTCACCCTCTGAAATGTTTTATTCCGGAGTTTACCTGAGAGCCCATCACCGGCTTCCCTCTGTGCTCAGCACAAAAGCCAACTCCTTGGCCTCTGCCCGAAGTCCTCAGCAGCCCGCCATGCAGAGAGACTCTGGTTATTAGGCCCAGTCCTCACAGTGAAAGCATTCAGATCCTGAGTTGGGGGATCTCTGGGTTGGTTCAGTTCCATTTTTCCCAGCCCTTCATGTCCCTAGCCTACTTGCCATTTCTCTTTTCTCTGCCCTGTGCATTGTTAGTTTCTATCAACTCAGCCAGCTGTTTTCACTGCAGCTGTATGTAGACCCCCAAACACTGTGAAGGAAACATCAAAGAGCCATGCTGGGCCTGGCACAGTGGCTGACACATGTAATCCCAGCACTTCGGGAGGCGGAGGCAGGTGGATCACTTGAGGCCAGGAGTTCAAAACCAGCTTGGTCAACATGGTGAAACCCCATCTCTACTAAGACTACAAAAAATTAGCCAGGTATGGTGGCATGTGCCTGTAGTGCCGGCTGCTTGGGAGACTGAGGCAGGAGAATCACTTGAACCCAGGAGATGGAGGTTGCAGTGAGCTGAGATAGCACCAGTGCACTCCAGCCTCAGCGACAGAGTGAGTGAGACTCTGTCTTAAAAAAAAAAAAAAAGAAAAGAAAGCCATCCTGATTAGCTCTGTCAAGAACTTAGGGTTTCGAGCCCCCGCCAGCCTTTCATTGTTCCAGGACAGTCCTTGGGGTATTTTTAGTCCATTTTTATTCTAAATTTCAATAATGGCTACACCACTTCTCTCCTTAAGGACTGCCCCCTTCAGTCTTAGGATCTGTACCATCTGTACCATCAAAATCACTTCTCAACTGCCCCACTGCTTTGCATATTTACCCATGCTTCCCATTCTCCCCTGCTTCAGAGGCGGAAGCGTCTCTGCTACCCTTAAAGCTAGGGTATTTCTGATGCTCTGAATGCCATGCTTTTTGTAGTGCTTGTTTTTTCACTTGTAGATCTTCAGTGTCTCACTCTACTGATTTTCTCTCCCTCAGCTTCCAAATAGACCGAACTTACCCCATACTTTTTTTTATTAATTGAATTTTTTTGAGACAGGGTCACACTCCGTCACCCAGACTGGAGTGCAGTGGCGTGATCACAGCTCACTGCAGCCCCAACCCCCTGAGCTCAAGCAATCTTCCTGCCTCAGCCTCCCAAGTACCTAGGACTACAGGCATGTGCCACCATTGATACAGTTTGCTGACAGATTTATCTAAGATGGTAACTCCTTTCCCCCGCACTTCTATTACTTTTCTCTGCTTTATTTTACTCCTTAGTACTTATAATCTAACATATGATATATTTTGCTTATGTATCTTACTTATAACCTGTTTCTCCCACTAGATGCAACTTCAAGAAGTCAGGTGTTTTTGTCTTGCTGCGTTCCCTGTGCTTAGAACACTGTCTGGCATCAGTGAATATTTGTTGAATGAATGTTGATTGGACGGGATGTGGGGTGTGAGCGGAAGAGAGGAGTCAAAGATGAAGCCAAAGGCTTTGGCCTGAACAAACTTGACTGAGCATGAGGATTGAGGGAGGAGCAAGTAGCTTCCACCTGCTTGTAATGGAAGCCAGAGACCTGGAATCACTTTTGATTCCTCTTCACCTCACACATCTCGTTGGTCATCTTATTGAATCTTCCTGTCTTTGCAGTGCCACTCACTTCTGGTCTCTCCTTATTCAGCACCTTAAATTGAGCCCTGTTTACCAGTTGTCTTCCTGTACTCCAGTCCTTCCACCCCTTCTGCCAGGCCATCTTTCTTTCTTTCTTTCTTTGAGATGGAGTTTCACTCTTGTTGACCAGGCTGGAGT